AGGCTAAAAATATTTTAAAAAAAAGATAATGACTAAAACCTTCTTAAACTTAGCAAGAGGCACAACTTCATTTTGATTCCACAGAGCTAACCATATTTTCAAATACATCATTTTTTACCTGCTATCTGACATACATTTAAATTTCACATATGTATAGGTATCATTCTGAGTTCTATATCCTGTTGGTCCATGTATCTGATAACACATCAATATAATACTGTCTCCTTTATTATAGTTTCAAACATTTGGTATCTGGTAGAACAGTACTTCTTTTTCTTTTTTAAAGAAACACATTGGCAATTCTTGTCCCTTTGACCTTCCTTTTACAATCCACTTTTTTAAGCTCCAAAGTGTTGCTGGGATTTTTACTGAATTGCATGGACTCTACAGATCAAGTAGGGAAAACTGGGTTCTTAATGGTATTTAACATTTCTAGCATTAATGTGGTAAACACCGTTTTATCCTTTCCTTTCCTTATATTTACTTAGTTCTTCATACCTTGACAGTTTCAGTACTTTGTCCATAGAGATCTTAACGATTAATAAATCAGTACTTAATACAAAAAACTCAAAAATAGTTTTTTTCTGTTAAATTTGGTTACTATTTGTTGCTACTATTTAGAAATTCATCTACTAGACTAAATTCAGTTATCTTTAAATATCTAGATTCTTCGAGATTTCTAATTCTGGGTGTCTTTTTTTTTTTTTGGGTCCGGTCGTGGGGCCTGAACTCTGGGCCTGGGCACTGTCCTTCAGCTCTTCAGCTCAAGGCTAGCGCTCTACCACTTGAGCCACAGTGCCACTTCTGGCTTTTTTTTTTTCCTGCTTATGTGGTGCTGAGGAATCGAAACCAGGGCCTCACACATGCAAGGCAAGCGCTCTACCACTGAGCCACCTTCCCAGCCCCCTGGGTGTCTTTAATAATTTTTTTTTAATGTCTCTTCTCACTGACTTCTAGAACATAGTTGAATGAAAGTGCTGATCGTAGGCTTGTTCTTGTGTTATATTATTATATCTGAAAAAGAATACTTGTTACTATTTCCCCATTAATTGTGATGTTTGTAACCTTCAAATAGAAGACAGGTGTTTTAAAATCAAGAATTCAGTGGCTGGGAAGGTTGCTCAGTGGTAGAGCACTTGCCTTGCATGCATGAGGTCCTGGGTTCGATTCCTCAGCACCACATAAGCAAAAAGAAAAAGAAAAAAACCAGAAGTGGCACTGTGGCTCAAGTGGTAGAGCACTAGCCTTGAGCTGAAGAGCTGAGGGACAAAGCCCAGGCCCAGAGTTCAGGCCCCATAACCAGACCCCCCCCCAAAAAAGAAAAAATATCAAGAATTCACAATGTAGATTAAATAGTTTTTAATAAATTGCTCACATGAGAAATCATGAAGTCCATTTTCTCAACTCTTATGCAATAAAACTACACTTAAGAATAAAAATTTAAATATACTGGCTTAGAAAACTTATAAATAACCCCTCTAATTTTTAACAAAGTAGCTTTGAAAAATTGAAGCTAGACTTAAAGGTTTTAAGAAAATAGCAGCCATGAGATTAGCAGTTCATCATAGTTTGTGTGATAAGGCCAATATTATATGTAATCAAAAGTTATAGCCTTTAATGTTTTCCTTAAAAGAAATGAAAACTTAATGAAATAAATATTGCTCTATCAGAATTTAGTTTTTATGCTTTTTCTCTATTTATTCTCTCTTTAGGGGTCTCTTTAATCTTGTAGTTTTACTACCTTTTAGAAACTAAGCCATCACATCTCTCCTGCACTCAAGACTCATACATTTAGTTATCTACTGAATGTCTGCACTTACATGTCTAATAAGCATCCTATCTTTAACATGTCAATAAGAGAACTTTTGATCACTCCTCTTCCCTCACAGAGGAAAAAACAAAAAACCTTGGTCTGCTAGCATCTGCATTTCAGTAGATTATTTGGGTCAGGCTAAACTGTTGATGTAATCTTTGGCATCTATCTTGTAAAAAATGCATTTCTATCTCTCTTAGCCTAGCTTCCAACAGGATATTATATTATTTGCATTTAGATTGTCATAAATGGGACAGTTTCTTATCAGTTCTACCATTCCAGTCTAATCCACCACCATCTCTTTCTAGATAGTACTATATATTACTACTATAATAGTTATATTATTCTATTATTACCTACTGCCTTACCAGATAATAATACATACTATGAAGCATGTTGAAAGTTTGTGATACTAACCTAATGACACAATATGTCAGTGGAGTCATATACATAGATCATTATGTCCTGCAACATATAAAAGAACTTCATGTATGATAAAAGAAGTGTAAAAAGGCATGAAGTACTGGGTGTCAGTGGTTCATGCCAGTAATCCTAGCTACTCAGGAGGCTGAGATCTGTGAATCCAGTTGAAAAACAGCCTGGGCAGGAAAGTCCATGTGATACTTATCTCCAGTTAGCCTACCAGAAAACTGGAAGTAGAGCTGCAGGTCAAACTGGGAGAGTGCTAGCCTTGAGTGAAAAAACTCAAGGACAGCGCCTTGGCCCTGAGTTCAAGACCCACAACCAACAATGACCAAAAAAAAAAAAAAA